AAAACACTAAGATTAAATCAAAAGAAAAACACTAAGATTCAAGTTTTTCACATTTGTAATAAAAAACTTCAATTTTTTTATATTTGCAAGTGTTTTTATAATATTATGGAAACCCTTATAAATAAAGTAGCAACTTTGATTGTTTGAATGATTGTTTAAAAAATATGCACATTTAATTTTAATTATAGTTGTTCATTATACTAATTTTAAATTATATTTAAAAATATAGTAAATAAGTTTCCATATAAATACATGGTAGTAAATATTTACGCATTTAAAAAAAAAAGATAATTTAACTTTTTTTAAAACGATTTCATGCATTGATTAAACATATATTTTTTTAAACATTCAAACATAAACATTCGTAGAAAATGTTACATAATAAAAGAAAAATATTTTAATCTTTAAAATGATCTTTTTAGTAAATGAAATAAACAAAAAAATTAAAAAAAAAATTTTCATAGTAATATTAACAAAAAAAAAGAAAAAAAGAATTAAATCAGTTCCATTTCAATAGAAACTTTAAATTGTTTTTTTCTTTTGACTTAAGCCATTAACAGTCCATGCTGTACTATTACACAAACTAAAAGTGGTTTATAAATGTCCATATATTTCCTCCTTATATTTCCTTCTTATTCATCAGTAATTATATGTCTACTTGTCACAAAAGGAATTACTAGATAATTACAGAGATTTTGTTTCAATAATTGTCTTTTAAACGTGTTCAATTTAATTTTAAATGTGATAAATGTGATAAGGAAGTTTTTTCAGTACAAAAATAATTATAAAAAAGTAAACATTTACTCGAGAAAAGACAGAGTTTTATACATTTGATGAATCAATAATGAAAAGATATATGATAATAAAAGATTAATGATCAAAGATGGTGTGTGGTATGTTACAAACACAATATTCAAAAAGGTTCAGGATATGAATCTGTAGAATGTGATGTAGGACTTTTTGCAGCTCCTTTCTTTTTACAATTATTATACAAAAAGTGAATATTAGTGAATACATTTTTAAAATCTTACGTTTATGTAGTATGATTTATATATTCTTAAACTTGAATAATAACATTTTGTAGTGTTTGATAATGTTAAAAGTAGTAAAAAAACATTTTTTATTTTATTAGTAAAAAAGTTCGATGAATTTAAAAATACAGGACATTTAGAGACCTCTTCAAAAAATCATTAGTTTAAGGAAATCCAAATATAAGTTTTTTTATCTCTATATTCTTAGGATATATAATTACACAACTAGAATGTTAGTTGAATAAGCTCTTATTTTTACTTTAATCCCAAATTAACCATTTTGTGTTTTGCTCAGAAAGGCTATTGCGTTTACTGTCGATAACTTCTCCTCCCACAGAGTTGAATCTTTTGTTGAACAATTTGTAGAAACTCTTTCTGATGAACAATTTGTAGCTTATTATTTTTATTTGTTGCTTGTACAGTAAGAAGATCAAGTGCAACTTTGGATATTAAAGGAAAATGTTACATTTGTTTTTCCAGAAGAGAATCTGACAATCTGAATATCCCTATGTTTTCTCTTTAGTGTACACAATAATTTCAAATTTTAATTTCTGACCTAAAGTTCTTCTTTCTGGTAAGGTACAATATTTAGAAACATGTTCTTACATCTAAAATTCCATTTGTTCCTATGATTTAAATTTCATTAAGAATTTTAGAAATACTTATATTGTGCTTTTTTTCAGATACCATTAAGTATGGTTCTACAACTTACATCTCTGTCAAGGTAAACATCACTGATTTATATTGAGGGTCTAAGATGGTAACAATCAGAAAAATGTCTTCACTTAATTCAAACTTGATTTGGAACTCTGTAATAAGATCATCAACAAATTTAATTATCCTATATTTATCCATTGAGCGAAGGCAATTTTTTAAAGTTAAAATGCATGGATAAACAAAACTAATGCTCACACTTTTTTCCACACTTAAAGTAGTAGTGGCTTCAGATACTGTATTTAAAATAGGAGTGACAATTGTTAATAGTTGCACTTGTATTTCAGTTAAACAAGTTGGTGGCACTTTCATGGTTGTTTTTTTTTTTTTCTGTGTGCACTTAACTAATGCAAGTTCTATAGAACCATGTTTTTTTTAATCCATCTCAATAAATTAGTAGTGCTCTTAAAGCACATTTCGACATCCACTGGAGGCTTTGACTTAGGTTTTCCTTGAGAAATTGGATACTTATTGAGAATGAAGAAATCTAACTGTTTTATAAGAATTGGTTGGTTGTGGATAGTGACAAGCATTTATTATTTCCAGACTTACAATTGATAAACAACATGGTTTTAAAACCCACAAGGATGAATATAGTGACAAGTAGAAACAAGGAAGTTATCACCATTGTCAGCCTTAAAGTGATCAAAAGTAATACTAGGTTGGGAGATAAACTGCCTATTTATACTTTGTTTAAAGCTAATATATAGATCATAAACCATTTTACCCCAATATTGAGATAAAGTGGTCGGGTGTGATGGATGATATTCCCCTTGAGTAAACACCAAGCACTAAAAAAATCAAATGATCTTTCGACTTCAAATAATTTTTGGGCGATCCTGCCAAGGCTTGTATATATATATAGTTCCTTTATGTATTTTATATACATACATACATATAAGAATTTGATTCCCTCACACCATCAGTAGTTCTGCACTCAACTTGATTCTATTCAAAAGAGTGGTAAAAGCAATTAAAAAATTGATTAGCCCCCATAGCAGGCCTTGTTTTAAATAGTTTTAAAAAGCTTAATGCATTAGCTTAACGCAATATTTGACGTCATAAATTTATCTATATTTTTTTTTACAGACGTAAAGTGTTTTAACTACCGCAGTAAATAAATAACCGCTAACTAGTTCAATTTAACAATTAACTCAAATAACTATAATGTAATTATATTATGAAAAGTTTTATGTTTTCAATTGTTATTCTAATATTATTTTTAGTTCAATATTATTTAGTAAAAAAAAGAATATATATATATTTTTTAATTGCTTATGAAATTTATTTTTGAATAATTATTGTTTATAAATCGTTATTGAATAAAAATATAAAAAATAATGATTTTTTATTTTTAAAAATTTCCGGAGTAAACAAAAAATATTAACATATTGATAAACAAAAACCCTTGTTAATTATTTAAACAGCAATTTTGTTTTGACTAGCAAAGAATAATTTAGGTTTTTGAGTATTTTTTAAATTTATGTTGCTTAGCGTTTTAACTTGCATTGTATAAAAATATAAAAAAAGTTTCATGTTTTGAGCATATATTTGATATGTAGTTTAGAACGCGTTTGTCAGAAATTTAATTTATAAGTTTTTTACGTTATCGTAAAAATGTAAAACATTTTTAACAAATCACAAAGAAACACAGAGCTATAGAGAAAAATCGTTTTTAACAATTAATTTTTTTTTTCTTTTGAATTTTGAATTAAAAAAAAAAAATTAAATTAAATACAAAAGTCTTGATTATGCAAACTTTTTTGTTAATTATTCTTAAAACAAAAAAAAATTTAAAATACTTCTACGCAATACTTTAATTGTGCAAACTTAAATATATACTAACATGTTAAAATATTTTAACATGACTTGTGTCATTTATAAACTGTATGGCAGCTGTCCTTACAACACCATTGGTTTTGGATAATATTTTATTTTTATGAAGATTACATAACTTACATTTGTTTTTAATAACGTAAGTCTTCTCTTTTTCTGTGATAGTTTCAATTCGAAAAGCATCAGCAAAGTCCTAGGATTTAAAAGTTTTCAAAGTAAATCTTTTGTCCTTCAAAATACAATCTATATTTAAACTTTAAACAATTTGGAAAGAATAGAAATATACTAGGTTTTTATATACTAGTTTGTCTTATTTTATATAGAAAAATACATAGTCATTTGTAAAGAATAGAGACTGTCATTAAACTAAAACGTGCCTCAGTATTTATTTAATGGAGTCTTTAATGTGCACGTGCATAATGAAACCTCCATTATACAAATATATTCAATGTAATATTAGTGTCATCAGCGGATGTTAAACTCTACTCGTGATTTCTTAACCTTATAATATAACTTGATTTATGAAAAAAAAACTTATTGAATCGCATGCAGAAGAAATTTAACAAATTGACTTTATTCAAAAGTTGCGAGTAACAGGTTATTTTTTTTCTTTTTTCCCCTCCCTCCACATAACTTAAATGTAAAAGTATCTATATACCTTTAACTAATAAGAAAAGCAAAGACTAATAATTGGCACATTTTTTTTAATATCTCGAAAAAATATTTTTGTTATCATGATAACAAAAATATTAAGACATTTTTTTTTTAATTATTAAAAAATATTTAGATAGAAAGTTTACCTTAAAATTAATTGCTTTAAAAATGTAAGATATATCGCGATGAAAAGTTACTACAATAGTTTTTAACCTAACTTCTTTTTTGTAATAAATATTTTTACATATCAAAAGTTATTCAAAAGTTAATGTGGTTTTTTTAAAAATTAATTACTAAATAAATTCTTTATCATTTTTATAAAAATTAATTGAAAAATAAATTCTTTATCATTTTTTAACTTACTAAATAACTAAATAAATTCTTTATCATTTTTATAAAAATTAATTAAAAAATAAATTCTTTATCATTTTTTAACTTTTAAAATAGTGGTAACATACCACTATTTTAAAAGTTAAAAAATGATAAAAAGTAGCTTAACCGAAATCGCTCTAGCGTAAATAAAAATCGCTCAAGGCGCACGTAAATCGCTCTAAGCGTAACGCTTTAAAACAAGGCCTGCCATAGTTATTTATGTGAGAGGTCAATACATTAAAAAAATTATAATAATTTATATCAATATATATCCTCAATATACTTCCATACTACACTTATTTCAATTACAAAACATTATTTTTGATTATTTTAACTAAATAACTTTTAATGATATCCTTCACAGAAAAATGAAAGTTTGTGTTATATTTATAGACTCTACTTTTGTTAGCTGAGCATGGACCTAATAAGAAGATTATGCTTAGTGAGCTTGGCATGTTAGAGTCGTTAAAAAGTTTAGCAGAAAATGAAAGGTATTTAATCAAAAAAAATTTTTTAACTTTTTTTTTCTTTTATTTCAATAATTTTACAAATGATTGATTTTAGTTCCAAATACTTTCTGAGATTCTTAAAATAGCTTTTTAAAAAGTTAGGATTATTAGTATAAGATTAACGTTATAGTTTAAGTAAAATATATAGTAATTATAATAATTATAATAACTAGCAGAAAGCAACCTGTAATACGGTTATGGTCGGTCTGTTACATAATTAATTTATGATGACTGTTTTCCACAATTTAAAGTTGCAAAACCTTAACTAATACCTTTTTAGAAAAACAACTTCAAGTTGAAAAAATTAAACCATGTGTTAAATTAAAATAAAAAGTATGAGGAGGTAAAATAATTTACCAATTATTATTTAACATGTTTTTAGTTACTGACAAAAAATAATAACACTTCATTATGCTTTAAATTGACAAAAAATATTAACTAAATTCTTGTAATATTTTTTATAAAATGAACTTTAATTAATTATTAAGATTAATATGAAATTAAATTATGTTATACAGGATTTATTAATTTTTTGGTATCCCCTTGATTAATTTTTCTTTAAAAAAGAAAATTGTTATTTAAAATGTTAAATGCATACAACTAAATAAGTTTGTTAAAAATAACTAAGTTTATTATAAATAACTAAGCAATTGAGTACAAATACGTTTCAAACAAAAAAAATTAATTTACAATCAAACATGCGTATAACAATCAAACATGTGTATCTTTACAATAATGCATCATAGGACAAACCCAAATTAAAAATTATCACAGATAAGTAGACAAAAGAAAAGAAAAAAATAATAATAATTGGAAAACAATTTACTTGCTTTCAGTAACCTGTTATCATTCTTTAGTTGCTGTCATGATGCAGCAGTTCTTGTCGGTGTTGTTTAATGGTGTTATTTCATGTTGGATTTTAGTAAACTTTAGTTTAATTTAAAAGACCACAATAGATTTAAAATATTATAGTTAAAAAGCAAAATATAAAATGCTTCAAGGAGCTAAACTATAAACAATAAAGATAAAAATCAAATTGAAGATATAAATAAATTGCATTTATATAGGTAAATGTATTGTCTTGGCTTATAGTAATCTTTAAAAGCAATGAGATATGATGAAAAACTTGACCACATATTCTAAAATATGGTGACCCATGATTCATGGGTTGAACTTACATCAACTTTAAATGATGCAAAAGAAAGACATTATAATTTCAAATATATTAAAAAAAAATTCAGATGGCATTTTCATCTGCATAATTTCCTTTAAATAAATCTTGTAAGTCTTGTGGAAATAATGAAGGTTGCGACAAAACTACCTTTCCATTATGGCGATATAAAAAATGTGTTTTATCAGGAAATTTCGTAGCATCACGATGCTGACAAATATAATTCATTTCTCATAAATAATTATAATCTGGAATAGTATTACTTCTTGCTGTACAATACATTCTTTTGTATCTAGCAGCATATCTAGTATTTGATTGACTATTAATTTCATCTTGACTAAGCCTATCTCTTTCATTTCTGCAACGATTATTTTCAACTCGCCTAACCACGCTCTCCTCATTTGGGTTCAAATTATTTGCTGTTTGCCGAGCAGCATATCTAGCATTTTGTCGATTATTAGTTTCATCTCACCTAAGCCTATCTCTTTCATTTCTGCGTTGATTAACTTGCCTATTAACAATTTCATTTTCTAAACTAATATCTGCTTCTAGCCTAATAATCATCCATTTAAACTTCACTTTTAATTGAAAGTAATAACAAATAATCTTAAAAGAATCTTAAATATTGTGACCTTTTCTATATAATTTTTTTTCTACTCTAAATAGCACACACAGATAATTTTTAAATATAAGAAACTGTTATTTAAAATAAATTATACAATAATCTTATGACTTTAATTTTATGAAAAAAAAAATCATATCAGCTGTGAGATGTTTAAATAAAAAATTAACTTCTAAATTTTTTAATTTAGGTTTGAAAAAATTAATCTAAATATAAATTAATCTAATATTAATTAGCAAATAATTCTAATAATAAACATACTGCTAATACAGAAAACTTAAAAAAAAAACAATGTTGTAAACCCTTCTGCAAACTTCAATATTATTTCTTTAAAAAAATTATTAGTAAACGTTTTTAAAAAATTCACAAAACTTTAAAATATTTTGTTCTTCTGTACCACATAAATAGAGTAAAACAGGGTAAAATTAAATAGCAAGTAGAATGAAATAGTTATGACAATGTTTATTCTTTTGCTCTTAATAAACTATTGAATAGTTTTTTTTCAAATAGTTTTTAATTATATTATAGAAAATATTTTTCAGAGTAAGATTGTATAAAATTTTATTTTTAATAAAAAAAATTTTGTTATAAATTTATAAGTTTTCGAATGAGTAATAAGATTTTTTTTATTTGTTTGAAAATGGAACTTAAAACTTCTCTCTTAAATTAAATTCGGTATCATTGAACTTAAAATGTTTACTGGTACAACTTTTTATGCTGATCAAGAATCTTTTTTCAAAATTAAATTTGCTATTTAGGAAAAAAAGTTCTGAGTTAAAAACGGAAACGGAGTGTTGTGGGGTTGAATGAAATATGCTAATAAATAAATAAATACGAAGCAATAGCTTATTCCTTAATAGCGGCTTTTTTTTAATTAGATCTCAAGTGACAAATAAATCTCCAACTATAACTTTTTTGTATAAATTTCAATGGTCAAATTTTTCTAACTGAATTTAAATGATTTTTACTTACTGCTTTAAAATAAAATGGTTCTAATAAATGAATGAAATACGCTAGTTATTCTCTTGTTAATTGCGGTCACCTTGTCTGCAAACAACCTTCAATATTGTAGTAGCTCCAGCTATTCAAAAGGAAATTCAAAAAGAGGTTGCAAAACAACTGCAATCAGCCCAATCACTTGCAGCAGCTTTGCAACAAATGTTTTGTTTCCAACACGTTGACACACGAAAAAAGAAAAAATGTAGGTGTGCCAAGATTCAAACGGGAGTGAGTGAGAACAAACCTGATAAACTTGAAAGGTTGAAAGATGCTGAGAGCAAAAAAGCAGCAAAGCAAGCTAAAACATAACGTAAGCTTAGCTCTAATTGAGAACAGCAAATAAACCACGCAACAAGTCCAATGAAAATATTAGCTGCAAACCAATTTAAGTGTAAAAAGTGCCAAAAAGTTTTGGCAAAACTTCAGCAAGTCAAAATATGGAATGGTACCAGTGTCAAAGTTTAAATTGCAAGGTTTGACTATGTCAAACATGCATACTAAAGTACTATGTAAAAGACGCTGAGTTTTATTGCACAAAAAAGTGCCGTACAAGTGAAAACTCAACTCAACCTTTAGTATCTCTAAATGACTCAACATCATCACAAGAATAAAAAATTTTTATTTGATTTGATTGATTTTTTAAATTATTATTAATGATTGTTTTTTTGATTGTTATTATTGATTGCTTTTGTTTTTTTAATAAAGTGTTATTTTAATTACACTTATACATGCAAATGTCAGTGTAGAATAGAATAAATTTATTTTTAATCAAATAAAGTTTCATAAAAAACTTTACAAAAAAATTGTTAGATTTTTTTATATTTAAATACAGCTCAATACTCGCTACAACTTTAAAAAATATTATTTTTTTTTCCGTAAAAAATTAAAATCCTTAACTATTCCATTTGACACCATTTTACTCTACATCATTTGATAAATCTAAAATAAAAAATGTAACCAATAAGTAAATAAATAAGAAAAACATTGCATACTAATGGAAATCAATGTACCTGAAAAAAGCTGTTGTGATTTACCAGAGTAGTAGTAGTAGGCTTTTAGTGAATATATATATATATATATATATATATATATATATATATATATATATATATATATATATATATATAATACAGAGTAGTAGGCTTTTAGTGAATGATTAAAATCAGTGAGATCTAATAATGAAATTACCTATTTATCATTTTTAACAATAGGCACCAACATGAAGGTAAGCCAAGTGTCTATCAACTCAAAAGATTACAAAAAAACAACATCACAACAGCAATAGCACACACCATAAGTTATTATAAAATAGATATAACATAACTTAAGTAACTCAACATTCATATATAACAGAACATAAGTAACAACAATACACAAAATATTATTAAAATATTGTTATGTATTTTCAGAATAATTAATAATAAAGGCTTGTTAAGACCTAAAGCAGTAACAGACACTAAACACTGCCGTGTGACCCTTCTGCTATAAGTACATCACTTGGCTGGCAAGGTTGACAAATCTTGCTCGACACGTTTACCAAGTCACAGTACTTTGAAAACACGGAAATAACATAATATAAACATATGTACCAACTATAAACACAATATATATATTTAACCTTGTATAAACATATTTAAACACATTTATAAAACAATTATATAACACATATTAACACATACACAAACAAAAAAATACATTACATTATTATAAAAACACATCGATAAAACAGCTTAAAGCACATATTAACTCATACACATACTTATCAAAAAAGCATATATGCAAACAATAAACATGTATAATTTGATTTGTGCAAACAAAATTTTTTTAAATGACATGAGAAAATTCAAAAATAAATTCAAAGTAAACAAAATCTCTCTCTCTCTCTATATATATATATATATATATATATATATATATATATATATATATATATATATATATATATATATATATATATATATATATATATATATATATATATATATATATATATATATACATATATATATATATATTATATATATATATATATATATTTATATATATATATATATATATATATATATATATATATATATATATATATATATATATATATATATATATATATATATATATATATATATATATATATATATATATATATATATATATATATATATATATTATACATATATATATATATATATATATATTATATATATATATATATATATATATATATATATATATATATATATATATATATATATATATCTTTACCTTTATTTATTTTTTTCATAAGAAATGTAATCCTCATAACAAAATTTAACATTTACATACAATAACATGTGACATGTCATGTCAGTGTTAGCACAAAATTTTAATTTATTTTTCTAAATTTTTTAAAAAAGAACAAAATTAGTTAATAGCATCACAGAAATTTCAAAGTAGGAATAACCAATTTTATAGAAATAGTATTAATATAACTTTTTTGTTGCATAAAAAATGCATAAAAAGTAATTAGGCCTCATCTATACCCCAATTTCCTTCTAAAAAATAAAATATAAACTCAATAAAAACATAACTGCTAAAAAAAATAAAGCTAAAAGAAAAACTAAAACAAACAAAATGTAAGCGATTTAAAAAATTAAAAGGAGTGATCCTTTATACTTTATATCTAATAAAAATGTTATATATAAATTGCAAAACTCTTTTCTATACTTCAATTATAATATAATCTTAACGATTATTATTTATCTTAATATGATTCTTTAAACTATATTTCTAAACTAATAAATAATCATTAAATTTCAAAAGATAAAAAGTTTTAACTCGCTTGATCGATCTTTCTCTAATGACCTCATGCATTTTAATAACGCGCTCTTTCAAATTCAGAAAAGCCTAGTAACTAATTAAAACTTTAAAAGCAAAAGCCAAACGATGTTGAATGTTGAACGTTGACTCTAGCTATTATATTAAGATAATAGTAATATTAGATGGGAATGGCATGCGATCGAGCATTATTGCTGACCATGCAAATGATATTTTAATTTGACAACTTGACCATGACTGTTTAGAAGTTTTGGTGATTTAAACATTTCAAAAACTAGGAAGAAAAAAAAAAATAGAGAGAAAAGTAAACAATTTTTTACGAAAAAGAAAATATATAAGCACAAAGTCAAAACTAGAAAAACTCAAACTCAAAACAAAAAAAAATTACGTTGAAAAAAAAACGTTTCTTTGGAAGCGCTTTATTAAAGTAATGGAAAAGGCTTTACCTTTTTTTAAGTTTTAAAAGTAATTGGTAAACTTTACATTAAGTTTACAAATTACTTCAAAGATTTGCAAGAATCAAAAAGACGAAGCATTCTGCAAATGTTGCAATTTAACTCCTCCAGAACAGCAATTTTTCGAGTAAGAAAACTTTTTCATGAAGCAGGAGATATCAAGCAACAGTATTAAGGTACCTTAATACTGCCAAAACAGTAAAGGAAGTCCCTGAGAATATCAGGTATTCATTTTCATCAAAAAAAACAGCGCCTGTGATGGTACTTGATAGCAAGTGATGGAAAAAAGTGTCCACCAGTTTTTGTGAAAAAAGGTCAAAAAATTGACAGTGATGAGTATATCCATCTCCTGCAAGAGAAGGTCATTGCCTGGTTAAACAGAAACTATCCAGATGGTCTCTATGTGTTTCAGCAGGATGGGGCACCAGCTCATACTTCAAAAAAGAAACAAAATTTTCTCAGTACTGGGACAAATTAAAGTGGCCCCCATCTAGCCCAAATCTGAACCCATTAGACTTTTTTATGTGGACGGCTGTGGAGAAGGAGGCTTGCAAGATTCCCCATGGAAGTACCGAGTCACTAAAAAAATCTATATGCAAAGCATGGGCCAAAGTTTTAGAAGAAGATGTCAAGAATGCATGCAGATCCTTTCAGCAGTGTATCCAACTTGTGTATGATGCCAATGGTGGCCACATTAAATAATTTTAAACCTTAGTCATGAATAAACATCTAGTCAAAATTATGGTCAGTTATGAATTGAAATAAATTTTTTGTGTATTTTCAAATTTTTATATTTTTTGTGTTACGCTGTTGCTCGGTCACCCCGTAGTTCTTTTAGTTATAGTAGCTCTCCACCATAGTTCTTTTAGTTATAGTAGCTCTCTACCATGGTTCTTTTAGTTATAGTAGCTCTCCACCATAGTTCTTTTAGTTATAGTAGCTCTCCACCATGGTTCTTTTAGTTATAGTAACTCTCCACCATAGTTCTTTTAGTTATAGTAGCTCTCCACCATAGTTCTTTTAGTTATAGTAGCTCTCCACCATGGTTCTTTTAGTTATAGTAACTCTCCACCAAAGTTTTTTTAGTTATAGTAGCTCTCTACCATAGTTCTTTTAGTTATAGTAGCTCTCCACCATGGTTCTTTTAGTTAAAGTAACTCTCCACCATAGTTCTTTTAGTTATAGTAGCTCTCCACCATAGTCCTTTTAGTTATAGTAGCTCTCCACCATGGTTCTTTTAGTTATAGTAACTCTCCACCAAAGTTTTTTTAGTTATAGTAGCTCTCCACCATAGTTCTTTTAGTTATAGTAACTCTCCACTATAGTTCTTTTAGTTTTAGTAGCTCTCTACCGTAGTTCTTTATGTAATTTCATACCAAGTATCTTCATAGATTTATAATTAACTTGCTATCATAGATTCTTAAGTAGCATACATTAATTCTTAAGTATTAAAATACATACTTTTTAAATAAAAATTAATATATGTTTACAAATTAACCATATATATATAGTTTATACAATATGTTATTTTAACTTAATATAACTTATTAAACTTATATATTTACTAAACAAAATATTATATGCGTGATCATAAATAATGTGCAATTGCACACCATTCCTGATTAAATCTTTATCACAAATGGTACAAGTCTAAAACATTTATTAGCTTTTTATTGAACTATGCGTGTGTTCCCAGGTTCTGATGGAAATGGTCTGCGATCAAATGTTATTATATGCAACAAAATATTAAATGCGGGATCATGAATAGCGTGCAATTGCACACCATTTCTGCCCATATCTTTATTGGTACACCTTTCTTTATGTTAACACAATTTAACAGTTGTTTAATTTTTGTTTAAAATTTAACCTGTTTGGACAAAAATATAATAAGTATTATTGTTGTTTGTTGTTTCACAAAGTCTTTGTTTTTGTGACCAAGATAATAATGTTTTAAAAACAGTTTTTAAGAATATTTTAATAATAATAATTAATATTTTAAATAATTTTTTTAATAATATTTTAAAAAAGTTTTTAAGAAAGTTTGTAATTCATAATGAATGCTGATTAATTCTCTAAAATGTTCTTCAACTGCTAGAATAGTTCAGAAGTCTCAAGAATCTTTGAGTTTTTTTGAAAACCTTATTTGGGGGCTTTTTCATAAATGTGATTTACAGTACACTTAAAAATATATAAAATCAGCTCATTTCTGAGGATTTTATAGGTCTTTTTCTATTCAATATGCAATTATTATTTCTTACCAGACTAAATGAATGAAAATATAAATTTTTTTGATTATGTTGCAATAAAAACAAATTGTATTCGTGCTATGGAAATAAAATCAAAGTTTATGCTTATTGTAGTCATTCACTCACTTTAGACAAACATTTAAAGAATAATATTTTCAATCAAATGACAAAAATTGTTACATAATGTAATCTTAATATTGTGTGTTCTTAAAAATTTTGCTTTTGGCAATTTTTACTAGTTGATAAACTGAGTAGTTTTTAAGTCTTGTTAATTAATTTTATTATTATTGTTTTGAGTATTTTTCCTTCTATTCCTTGATTTATCTCAGTTCTTGTTTTATACAAATTTAGAAGAAGTTTGGGTGTTGGGACTTATAGTTGTGAGGTCTATTTTGTTGTAACACTGACTTATATGTTCTAGGCTTCAGCAATAATAAGAGAAAACACATTTCTGATGCTACTTTTTATCTCCAAAACATCATAAATAAACGTTTTTAGTTCGAAGTTTCTTTTATATTAGTCCACTACTAAATTCCAATTCGATTTTATAACACCAATTTTTTTCTTTTTTTTTTCTACTCTGATCACTTTTAATAATTTTATATATACATATATATATATATATATATATATATATATATATATATATATATATGAATGTATATATATATTTACATACATACATACATACATACATACATACATACATACATACATACATACATACATACATACATACATACATACATGCATACATACATACATACACAACTATAAATGTTTGTTTAGATAAAAGTGCTGATGTCATACTAAAATAGATTCCTGCTGGGGGTTTCAGTACATACATTAAGTATCTTATAGCTTGCTGATGCTCTTGAACTAAATTAAATATCTATACATAGATGTAAATTATAAATCTACACAAAGCAAAGTTTTAAAATCTATAAATACACACATTCTAACAAATGTTTAATTACTTTTTAGATTAATTATTTTGTTTTAATTTCAGATTCTCAAACACACCAGAAATTAAACAGCAGGCATCTTTACTATTAAATCATTTGCAAGGTCGTTCTACTTCTCGATCTACAGATAGGGCGGCTGCTATGCAGAGAATACATAAAGCACCTCCCACATCACAAAAATTTTTTGTTGGCTCATCAAATAAGAAAGCAAAGCTGATTATTTTACAAATAAATGGTTTGACTGAAGCAACAAAAAAAACATGTGAAGAGTATTTACTCACAGTAAACTAATTTAAATTATTTTTTTATAATAAAAAATGCTATTTTGAACTCTCAAAACCAATACTTAACAAAGTTAATGATTGTCTAAACCTATCACTATATTTTAGCATGTCACTATATATCAGCATGTCACTATATATCGACATGTCACTATATATCAGCATGTCACTATATATCAACAAGTACACTACAATGGGGCAATACTCTGTTTAATTAAAAAAAATATCCCCCTTTTTCCCCCTCCCTCCCCCCCACCTACCCTCCTCCTCCTTTCCTCCTCCACATTTTGCCATCTGTTTTATTGAGTACCCTCTACCTCCTTAAAAGTACCTACACTCTTAACTTACCAACCCAACATTTTAATTTAGTGTTTTCATACTTTTATAATTGACCTACGCCCCCCCCCCCCCCCATCTCATGTATGTCGTTTGCAAACCCCCTCTTTCTCTCCTAACGTATGTACTTTATGGACAATTCCTAAGCACAAAATTTTAGTTTTTTACTCTTGTTATAATTATTTTGATATAATCTTCAAATTAAATAACACTATAGTTATAATTTTTTTATTCTTGTTACAATTATTTTGACTAATAATTTAATAAAACAATTAAGTCAAATAATAATAAAACAATTAAGTCAAATAATAATAAAACAATTAAGTCAAATAATCTTAAAGTTGAGATCATTTACAAATAATTTTCAACTAATTTTAATACTTTATGGTAATAACTATTAAATAATATTAGTAATACAAGTAATCGTAAATTAACAACAACAATAACAACAAAATAAACTAAAATAAAAATAAAAAACTATAAATAAAAATTTTTGAATTCATTTAAAAAATAACAAAACTTTTATTTATGATTTTTTTTTTTTCAAATTGTTTCAATCATTATTTCATTGTCATAAGGAATATTTTTAGGATATCGCAGCCACAACTAAATGCTTTTTCTATGTTTTACCTTATATGTTCGGTGAAGTGTTCCTTAAAATAAACATGTAAGAAAAACAAATTTTTTATGTTAGGTTCGAGGTGTTGTGAGCTTTACATTCGACATGACAAAGTTGCGATGCATGGTTCGCACTGTCCAAAGTGTCACTGCTGAAGCATTATGCAATGCTATAGCAAAATCTAAGGTGATCACAGCTGATCAAATTATTAAAAATAAATTTGGAGAAGAGGTAAGACTTTGAACAATTAAAAATTTATTTTTTGTTACCACCTTATCTTAGTTGCCAAAAATTCAAAACACGCATAACTCTTGTTTTTCCTTGTTTGTCCTTAATATTTTGCCAATAATTTATTTTAAGTTTATTTTTTTCAATTTAGTTTAATTTTCAGCCAAAGTAATAGGTTTTATTTTAAAATTTTGTAAACTTGTTTACAAAATTTTGAAATAAAGCCTATTACTTTGGCTGACAATTGTGTGATAATTTGGAAATTAGATGAGTGATGTTTGGAAATTAGATGAGTTTTATTAAGATTACAACCATATGTGCAGTGAAAAAATAAAATTAGTGAGCATGGCAAGAATTTGCATTATAAGTGCTACTCGGTTATTTGTATCTCCAGTTTTAATATTTTATAGAAAACAAATGATACTGAAAATGGATAGTACTATCCCTAAAATAAATGATACATATTCTCTAAAAATGGAATCATTCATAATATTCATAGAGTTCTATGGAATGGAGTAATAATGAAATTGTAGAGGATCAGTAGAGATACCTCTTCGTTTTTATAAAGTACTCTAAAAGTATAATTTATATAAAATAAATAAATACATTATACAATTATTATTTTTATTGCTACTTAATGGATATCTCACAAAACTTTAATCAATTTTGTTTGTTTTATAATTATGATGTTTGCGTTTATAAACCTTACCTACCAGACTACTTTTAATAAATCTCTAAAGAAAAATTACAACCAAATTTATTTTGCAATAATAAGAATAAATAATTAAAATATAATAAATTTTTAGGTAAATTGTAATAACATGTATATACTTTTTTGGCCATATTGGGTTAGTATTGATATTTTTAATCTGAAATGTTTTGTGTCTTTATTTAATATGAAAGGTAATTTTCATATTTATGTATTCATGGTAATAAAAAACTACATATATATTACATATCCTATGGACACACAAAAAAACATAATCCCTTTTTTTTTTTAAACATCTTCGCTTCCAACAAAGCTGCAAGCAACCATTAATTAGTGTTGGAAGTTACTGGAAGAGAAAAGATAAAGATTGTAGAGCAAGATAACGACTGAAAGACGACTTAAAAGATTGCAAATTATATGAATGAATCAGTTATTGATAGATATTGATCAGATATTGATAAAAGATTGCAAATTATATGAGTCAACTTATTCAGATGTTTATAATAAGCTTATAGCGCATGTCACATTCTCCGTGGTGCTATACAATGCCGCCACCATGTATCATCATTTATCCAGATCTCTGCTAATCATTGAATTTTATTCACAAGGAAATAAATTAGTTTTGTGTATCAATTTCGTTTAAATTTTTACTGCATTGAAAATATCTTGTGATTACTTGCTTTTATATTTTAATGCATCCTGTTAAAATCATAATTTGTAAAAATGCTAGTTTTTATAAAAAAATTTAGTTCAACATTATTTTTTATAACTGCTTGCCTAACATCTGATTGTAATCGTGTTTTATTTTTGGCTAGACTAGTGCATGCAAACGTAGATTTAATAGTTGAAAGGCCTTTTCTTTTTTATTATTGTTTGGTATTGGAACTTTTTTTCTGAGACTGACTTTTTATCAGTATTATATCAGGTATATATGATGTTGATTAGTTTCTTATTAGAAATAGCATTGTGAAGTATTTCGCTTTTGAACACTTTTTGAGAAGTGGATTAATGGTTTCGGAGCAGCTTTGTTTATCGTATAGGCAATTAATTATTTTTGTCAATATATTTTAAATTTAAATACATATTTTGTTTTTCATATAGTCTTAATTAGTTTTAATAGCTTTTACATTATTTTTGCTTCTGTCAAAAAGTTGGAATGCTAAATTTTAAAACTAATGAATTCATAGTAAATTGTATAAGTTTTATTGCATGTTATGATATAAGTTTTATGTTAATTGTATTTTTCAATGGGTAATTAAAACTAGTAGATTTTTTTTTTTTTTAATACTTATAACGTTGCTTATATTTCACATTCATGTGTATAACAGCTATCAGGTATGTATATACACATTCCTTTTTATAACAATTATACGGTATAAATAGGTCATTACTATTGATTATAAGTTCATTACAAAAATGTATTAAAAAGTAATGTAGAATCACACTCTAGTCTTATCACCCTGTTCACATTTAATAGACGATTAGTCAAAAGTTTCATTTTTACTTTGTTAAGAAATGTTTTTTTTTAAATATCGAAAAAAAATTTAATTTCATTTAGAATTAGAAATATTTTTTATTTAGTTTAAATTTAAAACATTTTGTCACATAAAAAAGCTTTAATAAATTTTTTAATGCTTTTTTATGGATTACGGAGAGACGACGACCCTAGATTACTGAAATTGTTTTATGATCTCGAATATGGCCTCAAATCATGATTTTTCTTTATTTGTGGCGTCTGCACTTTCAAAAAAAAAAAGAAAAGAAAAACAATGTGACAAAACCTAATTTTTATACAATCAACAATTATGTTTTTAAAACTAAATATTTTGATACTTCAAGGTTTTATTGTTGTGTGGTCGCAAAGTTGATATTCCTGACGAAGAGAAAGCAAAACTAGATATTGAAGAAGATTTTCCAGATTATTTACCAGAGGAAGATCCTGTTGAGACCTCTAAAACAGTACGTGTTATATATTCAAATTTAAATATTTATAGATCGTAGATACTTTTAATTTAAGTTATCCTTATTTGTTCACAGGCTGTTGCTCGACCAGGAGATAAAGATAGTGGAAGCTCTGGCTGGTTTGGAGGTGTAAAAAGCTTTATAAGCAATACACTTTATTGGTAACTTCATCGAAAAAAGTATAACTTATTTTGCTTTTTTATTTTGACATTTAATATTAGTATTTTGTGTTTTTAATTAACTTTTTTATTTGAATTAAGCTTCGGAAAACTACTATGCTGTGCTTATCTTCGTTATCATATTCCGCATATTATACATATATTTACATGAAAAAAAGCTGGTTTTATGCATATTAAAAATAGTGTTAAAGTTGTTTTTTCTGTTAAAATTAGTTATACAGTAATTTTTAAAAAATTGTTAACAAACGCAGAATGATTTTTGCTTAAAAAAATCAAATGTCAACATTTTGTTATAAATAATATACTCAGTAACCGTGTATTTATATTTTTATTTTTTGTTGTATGCAACTAATAATGTCCAAATTCATTTATAAAATAAATAACTTATTATTAATTTAAAAAAAGGATACGTTTAATAAAGAATCGTTTTCCTCCTAAAATATAGAAACCTCCTCGCCGACTATCTCAGAAAAAATAACCATGTGACTTTTTCTTAAATAAGAGCAACTATTTATAAGGAATGATCTGGGTGATAAATTTGTTCACTTATTTAAAATACTCCCGAGAGGCATCAGCGTAATCAGTAATTTGTTTTAATAATAATTTTGTATTTGTTTTAATAATAATTAATAATTTGTTTAAATAATGCCGAAAGGCATTAGCGTAATCAAAGCGTTTTAACAAATCGTTGTAGTTCTTTTTAGTTTATTAAAACTGTCAAACACATTAAATATCCGTTTGAAAATTTAAACAGGAAATCCATAATAGCGAAAAAAATAACCTTTGATCATTAAAACTGTATTATCAAAACATAATTTAATAAAACGAAGGCCGAATTGAAAACCTCATTGCATATATGTATAACATGATGTGAGCCGTTTAATATGAAGGTGGCATAAGTTACTTTGTTTTTAAGCAGAGATTTTTAAAAGTTTTATGTTTAAATATATACTGTTAAATAGCAAAACTTATTTTCAAAATATCAAAATAATATTAAATTTCAACACAATTGATTTAAGTTTTTTCACAAATGAAGATACCGTTACGTTGTAATCATTGTTATCAATAACTTGAGTTATTTGAAAATGTGATTTTACCACTTTCAAAATAAACGGCTTATATGTTTCGGTTGATCGATAGAATTTGCACAAATGTTTATCTAGTCTAGCTTTAAAAGAATTTACTGCCATTGCAGTAACCACTTTTTCAGGTAAAGCATTCTAATGAGGTATCACTCTGTTCGTAAAAAAATTATGTCTCGGTGTTGTTTTTGCAAATTCTCTTTCGAATTTCATTGGATGAACTCGAAGTCTCTGGGAAGAAGCTTTATTAGGCTCTTTATACCACAATATCTTATCAATCCCAGTTGTTAATTTGAAGAAAGCAATGAGATCTCTTATTATACGTCTTGTTTCCAGAGTTGTGAGACCCAACTTTATCAATCTTTCGCTATAACTTATATGTTTTAGTTAAGGGGCTAGCTTTGTTGCTCGTCTTTGAATTTTTTCTAGGTCATTGATATTGTTTTTATTACTTGGACTCCTCACTGGAGCTGCGAATTCCAAGTGTGGTCTAACCAGCGATGTGTATAGTTGCCTTACCATTTCAGTGTTAAGATAAGTAAAGCTTTTTCTTATTAAACATGAGATTCTTTGTGCTTTACTTGTAGCTACTTGAACCTGATGATTCCATTTCATATTGGATGAAACCATTACACCCAAGTCTAGTTCTTTTGTTGTTGTTTTTAGAAGAAAACTTTGATTGTCGTGCTTTATAGTGTAGTTATAGTTAATATTTTTTCTTGCAATGTGCATAACACTGCATTTATTTATACTAAAATCCATTAACCATACATTTGACCATTCAGTTCACAAATCAATGTCATTTTGTATATTAGTTAGATCATTATGTTCTTTTATAACAGATATGATTTTAGTATCATCAGCGTATAATTTTGTAATTGAAGAGATACATTGGGGAAGATCATTGATATATAACAGAAAAAGAAGAGGACCCAATACAAAACCCTGTGGTACACCACTATAAACCTTGCACCAATCTGATACAACTTCACCCATTACCACTCTTTGTTTTCTGTTTTTTAAAAAAGAATCAATCCAATTTAAAATATTGCCTTAGTAAGAAATTTCATAGTAAGAAATTTTATGTATTAGTCAATAGTGGGGCACCTTATCGAACGCCTTTGCAAAATCTAGGAACAATATATCAACTGGATAACCATTTTCAATTTCAGTAGTAATAATATCGAAAGTTTCTAATAGGTTTGTTAGGCACCCTTTATTTTGTACAAATTCATGTTGTTGAGACGTTAACAGATTGTTTTCTGTTATATAAATTATCAGTTTTTTTCTAATTATTTTCTCAATTATCTTACTTGGTATCGATGTTAAGGAGGTAGGTCTGTAGTTGAGTGGATCTTTCTTGTCTCCTTTTTTAAAAAGTGGTGTAATGTTTGCAGACTTCCATAATTCCGGCAGCTCTCCTGAATGTATCGATTTCTTGAATATTAAAGACAAAGGTTTGGATAATCCTTCTGCACAATGCTTTAGCACATAGGGACTGATGTTATCACAACCAAGTGACTTGTTTTTATTAAGTTCTAATAAATAATTAAATATATCTTCTTTTTGTTCTTGGTCCCAGTCACATTCAAATAAATGACTTGTTTTATTGCTGAAATATGGTAGATCTTGACTTTATTTGACAAATACTGATAGGAAACTACAATTTAGTAGATTAGCAATTACTTTTTTTATCGGTTATTATTTTGTTGTCACTAGTTTTAAGCGCTAGCAATTTTGTATGTGTCTGATTTTTTCTTTGTGCATATGCATAGAAGCGTTTTACATCTTTTGCTAAGTTTAGTTCGTAATCAAAAGTAGATTTTTTAATTTTTTTTTTAATTGTTTTATTGATAAGTTTGTATTCATTATTTAAGTTTGTATTCTTGAAATTTGTAGCACGAACTCTGCACCATAAACTACGTTTTTTTCAACTAGATTCTTGATTTTTTTATTAATGCACGGATTTTGGATAGAACTAGTGGGTTTGAAGTGGCGAGGAATATATTGTTTGCAAGCTTTTTCTTAAGTTTTTAAAAAATATGCATAACATTGATTTGTACTCATTTTGTCAAAGATTTCAACCCAATTTACTTTATAAAACATGAGATTCATTTCTTTGTACTTTCCGTTTCGAAAATTAAATCTCTTATTGTTGAACTTTTTCTCATATGAATTGAGTATATTTCCTATTTTAATATGTAATGGCTTTTAGTAATTTGACCAAGTGGAGCATCATATTTAATGTTAATTACTAAATCTAGATCGTCACATATTAAATCTAATATATTTGCTGATTTATCAACAGCCATTTGAAAAGTTGGCTTGTTAACTACTTGATGTAAATAATTGTTTTGCAAATTATTAATAAAATTACTCAAAGATTTATTTTCATTTTTAGGAAATTACTGCTATTTTCAAAAAAATCTGATTCAAATTTGTACTTTAACTAAAGTTCATCAGATATTTAGTGTTTTATGTAAAATTTCGTCCGAAGTATTAGATCAACATAACTTCAAAATTTCAATTATCAAAACATGATAACTTAAGACTCATGCCTCGAGTTATCATGTTTTGAGTTTAAGCAATTATCCAAAAAAAAGAGAATAATGAAAAACAAAAATAAAATGATAAAAAATAAGTTCTCTAGTCTGTAAGCAACAGTTTGATATAAATCTACTATTTCTTTTTCTTTCCATTTGTTGTCAAACTTTTTTATTCTCGCTCACAATTCTTTTTTACGCATCTTCTCTGCATTTGTGGAGTTCTTCTCCATTTGCCTAAAAGCATAGAGATTATCCATTCTCTGGAATTCCCTTAAATTTTTTTTTCATGCAGCATTCTTGACTGCCAACATGGAAATGACAGATATGATAGATTCATAGTTATTGGCATGACTCAGTTATCGGCGCTTTCCATTTTTTATCGCAAATTTCATATTTATTTTTATCTAATAAGTGATAAAAAAAGAAAACCAATATCTACCATTTTACAAAAAAATTATTATTGTCTGGTCTTTCTAGAAAAATTTAATAAGAAAATTATAATATATGTTTCTTTAAAATATTTTTTAAAAATATATTTATTTCTGTTTTAGAAAAAATCAAAATACAATTTGTTGTGATTAAGTTATTTAATACAACTTTTGAAAGAAAAAAAAATAGCCTATACATTTGCATTTGTATAATTCAACTCACCTCTGGTAAAATTTTAATAAGTTTTTAAATGTTAAGCATGAATTTTTTAAACTACCAAGGAAACAAAAAAAGCAAGTCAACAACAACTAAAGGAGCAATTTGATTAGGTCAAAAATGTTTCAGTTTCATTATCGTCAAGTTACTTTTTAGTGTTTTATACAAAGTGGGATGGATGGGTGGGATATTTCTCCAGATGTAATAAATGTAGAGATATTAGGACGGGTCTTAATAAACAGGTGGTGGCCTATTGTTGTAGTCATCCTGTTGTTGTAGTCATCCTGTTGTAATGACTACAACATTAGACTCTCTAAGGAGTGTCTATTTATCAATATATTTATACATATAGAGATGTGCTGAGTACCTGACTATCTGGTGGTCTGGTAAAAATGGGCTAATTTGGCTTATTTGTAATTTTTAGAAAAGTTTCTTGAATATTAGTAATTAAAATGTATTTGCTATTCCTAAACCATATTATCTTGTGCTTTTTTTTTTAGGAAAAATCAAGAGGCTTGTGCTTTTTTTTTCCGTTTGTAACTCTAAATTAATTAATAATTTGTTTTTAAGGGAAATTTGTTAGAAGACTTATTTTTATTTTTCTATCAAGTTTACGGTTATATTAGTCTTGTCTCTAAAAAATCTTAGTATTTTTTTTTATACTAAAGTACAAATAAAGAGCTTAGTGCTAAAAGTACTCAAGTCGCAAAATAAATGTTTTGAGGAAATATACTTTGATCAGAAACACTTCAAAATAAGGATTTAAAATGACTGATCAAAATAGATTTTCTTAAACCATTTATTTTGTGATTTAAATACTTTTAGCACTTAGCTCTTCAAATATTTGTATTAGGAAAGAGGTTGTCCATAAAGTATGTACGCTTTTATTTTGAGTACCCTTCACCTTTCTAAAAGTACCTACGCTTTTAACTTACCTACCCAAGGTTTTATGATATTTTTGTTTAGTGTCTTACTTTTATAATTAACCACCTGCCCTCTATCTCATAGGCTCTTTCTTCCTGCGGTTTAGTTAACAGTTTCAGAGATAATGACTGAAATGTTTCAAAAATACAGTAAAATCATGTGCAGAAACTTACAGTTTTTATATCACTTTTATGAAAATTATCCAAATTTTTTTTCCTACAATACTATTATTATTATTATTAGCCAGAAAAATTTATTAAATTATATTTTTCCAAATTTAAGATCCATAATTTTTTTTTTTTTTTTATCATTTTTTTCTGAGTATACTTAAAAACTGTTGAGTTTTAAAGTGTTTTTTTCTTCCAAATTTTTTTTTTCATCACTTTTTTCTGAGTATACTTAAAAACTGTTGGGTTTTAAAGGGTTTTTTTCTTCCAAATTGTTCAACTTTTAAATAGACAAAAATTTTAATTTTTTAATATTTAAATCTGAATGCCATTTAAGCATACAAAAATTAAATTAAATTTTAAATAAACTTCTGTGCTCCCCTATGTGAGAGTACATACTTTATTAATGATCCCAAAGTCCTGGTTGCATGTATTTGATTTTGTATTTGGAAATCTAGAATTAATATATTTGTATAAAGGGCAAACCACCCAGTGTTTGACTCTTTTTTTTTTTTTTTTGTGCAGAGTTTTATATAAATGATAATTTTTCAGTCGTTATTTCATATCAATGTTCTATCGTATATGGGGATGGTTGCTCTTTACAATACACTTTGAGTGAATGACATCGGAAAAAAAAAATCTCAAAATGTGGAACACTGGACGCCATCCAACAGTTTATTTTTATTTTTTCCAGTATTCGACACTTATTAGATTTTTAAAATTGTAAGTACTTTTTCAAACACAGGTGTTTAAATGATATGTAGCAAAATGAAAAAGTATTCTTTTTATCGTTTACAACGTAAAATATAAAAAAATACTGTAAAGAAAAGATTTTAAAGTCTGTACTTTATATTTTACAGGGTAGGATAAGTTTAATTTTCCTTTAACAACAGCTGTATGTGTGTGTTTTTTTTTTCTTTTCTGCGTTTTTCAATCGTACTTGTTTGTGACCTTAGGCAGCAATAGTATCTTTCTTTTTTTTTTGTTGGATATCCTCCAAAAAAGAAACTACTAGAGGTGTTGTCAAGACAGATGTTGCATGGAGTTCTTGAGCTACTATCCTATCTTTAGGAACAGTCTTCTTTGGCGATGGACACCATCTATGATGTAGTAAGGCTTTGCTTATAGCTGTTTGAATGCAATGTTGATAGAGTTAAGGCATGAGAAGGTAACAATGATTCCTCTGTCACGCCTAAAGAAAAGAAGAAATTAAAAATCAAGAAACCAATATTAAGTTGGAATGTCAGGGTAAACATTTACATAATACATGCAACTTAATGTAGGCTATGTTATTTCAATAAAAATTTAAAGGAAATATAAATATTACCTTCTGCATGGCTTCTTTCATCTACAGGGTTTGTTGATATTTTATCTGCATTTCTTCTTTGTAAATGTTTAATCATTTTTCTCTAGTGATAAAACACAATGATTCTAAATGATTTTAAATGAACATCTGTAAAAGATATGTACAAATTTAATTGGAATGAATGTTTGCATGGCTTTTGATTTTTTTTAATTAAAGCTTGAATAGTTTGAAAGTTTAAAGAACAAAAATAACTTACAACTTTATAGTTGTGCCTGCTCCCAGTGATTCTATAAGATTAGTGCAGTATTTATCAGATAAGGTTTTTTGTGTTGAATAGGTGTTGGAGTAATGTTTTAATGATCTTATCTTTGTAAAGTGTAGCCTTATAGACATAAATCAGCAAATATAGCTTCTAGAAGTATCAGTATAAATATTAGAATGATAAGCATAAGTGTATTGCAGTGTAGATGATCAAAATATAGGTGTTTTAATATCCAATTACCCATGTAGTGTCAAGATGACATTCTCATCAGGACCATTAGTTGTCATCAGGGAGTTTCGAAGGTAATGAAAGCTGGAGGTCTTTATGCGTTCACACTGCACCATAGGGCACGAATTCATACTGTACTTGAGACGTTCATGACACTTACATCTATAATGAATGTTCATCACCCTAAGAATACAAACCACATGATAACTACTTATAAAACGAATAATTCTACTCCATTACCAATTCTATCTACAAATCACATTTACGCAGGTCTCCAACAACAATTTAGTAGCACAACAACTAATGACTTTCCTTGACTGTTGTCTATTATTCTTATTTACTTTTTACTACACTTTACACATATTAGTTTTTAATATTTTTCCACTTTGAGGCTCTTTGTTTTCCTCTGGACATCTGTCCTTTTGTACTTTTATCTCACTCTGCTAAGCTCTTTTTAACTTATTATTCATCCCTAAGGCGTACACTGCTCGGTGCAGCTTCACTAAAATGCATTGCATTTACAAAAAATGTTTTTTTTTTCTTTTCTGCGTTTTTCAATCGTACTTGTTTGTGACCTTAGCCAGCAATAGTATCTTTCTTTTTTTTTTTGTTGGATATCCTCCAAAAAAGAAACTACTAGAGGTGTTGTCAAGACAGATGTTGCATGGAGTTCTTGAGCTACTATCCTATCTTTAGGAACAGTCTTCTTTGGCGATGGACACCATCTATGATGTAGTAAGGCTTTGCTTATAGCTGTTTGAATGCAATGTTGATAGAGTTAAGGCATGAGAAGGTAACAATGATTCCTCTGTCACGCCTAAAGAAAAGAAGAAATTAAAAATCAAGAAACCAATATTAAGTTGGAATGTCAGGGTAAACATTTACATAATACATGCAACTTAATGTAGGCTATGTTATTTCAATAAAAATTTAAAGGAAATATAAATATTACCTTCTGCATGGCTTCTTTCATCTACAGGGTTTGTTGATATTTTATCTGCATTTCTTCTTTGTAAATGTTTAATCATTTTTCTCTAGTGATAAAACACAATGATTCTAAATGATTTTAAATGAACATCTGTAAAAGATATGTACAAATTTAATTGGATTGAATGTTTGCATGGCTTTTGATTTTTTTTAATTAAAGCTTGAATAGTTTGAAAGTTTAAAGAACAAAAATAACTTACAACTTTATAGTTGTGTCTGCTCCCAGTGATTCTATAAGATTAGTGCAGTATTTATCAGATAAGGTTTGAGTCCTAGCATATACTTTCTGAATGGGATCTACTTGCATGCTTCATTCCACCTTACCATCTTTCACCTTCAAAAAAAACCGCCTCGCTTGAATACTCAACCTCTTTTAGTAGTTTGCTGTAATCTGGGGCTTCTGTGTTAAAGGGATAGATGCCAAGTTTTCTAAATGAGTTTTTGATATTTATATTCATATAAAAGCTCATTGTTTATATAGCCAGACTTGCTTTTTCAAATAGCAGTAAGCATTTTTGGAAATGCCTTGAACACGTTCATCGGAATTATTATGTTTGCATAGATATTAAAGGTGGAGGAAGAGACCCATCAGCACCGGTGTTTGCTGAAAAGAAAGTAAAAAACCTAAATGTAGCCCAAACTTTTGAATAAGCATCTAGTTGAATGCAATTTAATGTCCGTGTGTCTTGGCAATCCTTTGATTTCTACCGAAACTCCTCGTCCTTGATCTGAGACTCTTTCTCTGTTCCATTTTCTCGTACATTTTGAATCAGGTGGGTTTAAAAATACTTTTTGTCTTTGTGTATAGTTGTGGAGAACTTTCTCATTAGTGTTGGCAGAAATTGTGTGTGGTTTCCACTCATAGGAAAATATAGCTTTGTAGGGGAGCGATGCTTTGTCACATTTTTTCTGGAAAGCACGTTATACCAATATACCATTTTTAACGGATTTTTGTCACATCTGGCTGCCATATGCTTGATTGTGCGATGGTGACGTTCAACAATTCCATTTCCAGATGATTTTTGAGCGAAATGTCTTGCTGTTGTCAACCAGAACTTGCCATTTAAACTGCTTGCATGCAGCGCTCAAAATAACGGCCGATCAACGATCAATGATCGTCGACTTTTGGAAAAAATGAAATTTTGAACTCCCAAAATTAATTATGGCCGATCAAATTTGATCGTCTACATTGCATGTCACACATTAAAATAAAAAATTTTTTAACATTTAAAAAAGAATCTTAAATTTATTAAATTAGCATTAAAAAAAATATGTTCATTATTGCTGAATTAAACAAGTTTTTAGACCAATAATAATAATGCGGCAAACAGACATTTTATCCGGTATTCAAACCATGAATAGTAAAGACTTGGATTTGACAAAAAAAAAATTTGAGGTCGCTTACTTTATAGCAAAAGAAGAACTATCGCTTTGCCTATACCCAAAAATAATTCAATTAGAAGAGAAACATGGTGTAGTTTTTGGTCAGGCTTATAAAAACGAAAACACATGCGGAGTATTTATTGACTACATTGCTCTTAGTTTAGCGATAGATCTCAAAAATAAACTAAATACTCGAAATTTTTTCACTATTTTAATTGACGGTTCTAACGACGTTTCAATTAAGGAAAAAGAAGCTATATTTGCCGTTACTTTTAATCCGGCTCCAACTGGAAAATCTGAAGTAAACGTTGAATGTGATTTTCTTTCACTTTTGGATGTTGAGTATGGAACTTTGCACGGAGTTTTCAACACCATAAAAAAGTCACTCGAGAATATAGAAGTCGTAAATTGCAATAAAAAACTAGTTGGATTTGGTGCGGATGGTGCATCCGTTAACAGAGGGAGCAAGTCGGGCGTTAAAATGTTGCTCAAGGCTGAAGTCCCCTGGATCACGTTTGGCTGGTGTGTAGCACATCGTCTCGAGTTATCATTAAAAGAAAAATTAGGAAAAACAGCCTCATTCAATGACGTTGATTACATGATTTTAAAAATGCATTACATTTACAAAAAATCCCCCAAAAAGTTAAGACAGTTGGGTGAACTCGTTTCTATTTTAGAAGATGATGAATATAACATTGGTGGTTACCGACCTAAGAAAGCCTCCGGTATTTTCTTTTTTTTGCTTGATTTATTTATCTTATATTTATTACCATTACAGTTATGCGTGACGCATAACTGTAATGGTATAAAGTATAAAGTAAATTATAAATTAAAATAGTAAAAGAAGTATAAAGTAAATTATAAATTGTATAATCTTGTTTCATTTTTAGGTACACGATGGATTTCACATAAAGTTCAGGCTTTAGAAATGATTTTAGATAAATACGGTGTTTATTTAACACATCTGGAAAATATGACTGAAGATATAACATTTACCAATGCTGAAAGAGCTAATTTTAAAGGATACCACAAAAAGTGGATTCATGCTAGAATGCCCCTTTATATCGCGTTGTTTATTGAGATTTTAGCACCAGCAAAGATGTTGTCAAAATGTTTTCAAAGTGATGAGATAGATGTGTTGGCTTCATCAGGGTTTGTTCAACAAGCTAAAAGCCATTTAAATCGTATTCAAAAAACAAAGTTTATTAATTTGCCAACAGTAAAACGTTTTCTCGCCAAAGTGACTGAAAAAGAAGGAAAGTTTTATTTCCAGGGTGTTGCACTTAACGACTTTGTAAATGCTAAACATTTAGTAAAAAAGTCTAAATCTATTCATATCGAGTTGGTAACAAATTCAATCATAGAGCGTTTGGAAACAAGCGATACTATTACTGATATGTATGGTACAAAAGTTTTAAATACAGAAGGTTGGCTTCAAAGTATTGAAAATGAAACATTCCTGGATGAAGAAATAGAAAATCTTTTTGACTTTTATAGAGCGCCGTTGCGACATGCTGGTTTTGCAGGAACTGTAAATGATGTTTTGGATGCTTGGCATAGCTTGGTAAACTACACTGTAAAATATTTAGCACCACATAATACCGGTTATCGTAAGTTATGGCATCAAATTTTTTCTAGCTCAATGAAAAATGAATGGGTTCCGGTTTTACTTATTGTCGAACTATTATTTACTTTGCCTGTTTCTAATGCGAAAGTTGAACGCCTTTTTTCACTAATGAATAGAGTAAAAACGGATACAAGAAACTCTCTGAAAGAGAAACGTTTAGAAAATTTAATTCGAGTAAGTTTCGATGAAAAAGATTCCAATTTATTTGATTTAAGTTCTGCTATCGAGTTATGGACCAATGATGCCGTGCGAAGGCCAAAACAATCAGTAAGAAAATGCTATTCCAAAAGAGCAAAAAAAGCAGGATTAAAAACATTAATCGACTTGGATTCATCATCTAACGAATCAAGTAATGAATAGCGCAAAACGAGATTATTTTTTCTCACCTTTTTTTAGTTTAAAAAAGTTTTAATAATCAAATATTGGTTAAAAAGTTCATTACCTTTTTATTGCGTCATTTTTGTTAAAAAACGATCATTATATAAAAAACAATTGTTCGAGTCACAAAAAATATTTTTACGTCACTTAAAAGGCAACGCGTTGAAGTGAAAAAGTGAATTAAGAGCTAAGTTTAAAAGTAAAAACTATAAACGATAACGCGGACGTACGCTGTTGTAAATTCAAAAACCAATAGCGTTCAGCTAGTGTTCTAAAAA